CCGCTGAGCGTGCAAATATCATATAGATGTTGTTGATTACAATGTACAAAACTTCTTACAATTTCCTGGAGGAGTTTTCATGAAGGTCAAAAAAACTTTTAATGCCTATTGTTACTTGCAATTCAATTCAATTTCACCCGTGAAGCAGTCGAGGGTTTGCATAACTTTAGAGAAGTTTTGTTGGATAATAAACTTTTGCTGACTCATTATGAATAAAAAAAAAAAGTTAACGAGTATCATTACCAATGTGAAAGTAGTTTTTTACATCAAGAACGTCTCAGATAAAATGACATTTTATAAAAAATTTGAAGGCCAAAACACGGCAACCGAAAGGCTGTGCGATGTTTGCTTCGGCAGTTTGAGATACTTAAAGTTTGTAGCACATAGTATGATGTGCGTTTTCGTGAAAATTTTGCTGAGGAAAATCTTGCGGAGGATTTTGAATGTGTACTGCGCATTTTGTTGCACATTTTGTCGTCTTTGCTTGAACTACTTGGACGATGTCGTCCGGCGTAGTCTCAAGCGGTCTGAAATGTTGTTAAGAAACAAGTTTTCATATGCAAGTCGTTGACTACATCTTCGTATCCATAGCTTTCTTATCAAAATTTTGTCGAGGGCTGTTTAAATCTGTGTGTAAAAGTTCTCAGCCGTGTCTCTCGCGATGAGAAGGCTACCTTGTTTTTTTTCAGTTTCGTTGCTTTTCACGTTCACTCTAACTTAGCCGTGGATTTGTTTTTCACTGTCCCAGCTTATTCGAATAAACGATTTGAGACTTTCACGTCTAGATACGTCCTTTTTTTTTTTTTTAATCGCTTTCACCATGAAGGTGTGGGACACACAACAGAGCGAGGCTCCAAATTAAGTTTTTGCCCTTAAGAGAGCACTGTGAGAGTAAAGTGTCTTGCTCAAGAACACAACGCATTGTCCCGGCCAGGTCTCGAACTCAGGCCTCTCGACGCGGTGTCCAGTGCACTGACCATTAGGCCACTACGAAATAAAAAAAATTGAGATGACTGACTCAGAAAGCTTCTTTTGCTTCTCTTACGAGCCTTTTGGAATCAGCGTCCAGTTCATGAACATCTGGTAATATTTGTTGTTTCAAGGAGACCTAAATAATTTTTGTTGGAGATAAATATTACCATTGCCTTTTTCGGTGTTTAATCATGGATGAAATTGAGCTTGGATTGGTCTTCATTTCTAAGCTTCACTTTGACATGCAGAGAAGTAATTTTAAACAAATTACTTTGATTCTTGACATCTGTAGCATTAACAACTGTGAAGCTTTTTCTTAGATAAAGTTCAAATTGAAAGTTGTTCACAGCAACAACAAAAAAAAGTACTTAACTCTTTCACAGCTTGGCCCGCCGACTCTACAGGCGAAAAATAAGTTTGGGACAGAAGGTGCTGTATAGTGCTCTGTTTATTGTTAACTCTTTTTGCTTTCTCGGTAGGAAAATTTATGATTAGTATCTACTTTCCTTTGTGGTAGCCGACAATGAGTATATTTTTGTCTCCCCATTTTTCGGCGCTATCAATTTGTAATCTACGGCGTGGAAAACAAAGCACGCGGTAAATCTCACGCATGAGTGTGAATAATGAAATCTTTTTTTCTGCACGCGTAATGTAGCTTCTGAAATAATTTGTTTGCATTCAAAGTATCTCTTTCCAGCTTGCATTTACATCACTTAAATTAAGACCAATTCACGCTCAATTTAAACTAAAACTAGCTGTGCTAAACTGAAAGAGCTTTCGACTCAGTCTTCATAGCTGAAAACGTCTCGTACAAGATGGCCGCGATGGAAAACATTTCTTCGGCAAATATAAGCAAAGAAATTGAAATTACTTCACCAACGAACACCCTTTCGAGGTCAGAGAGCATTGCATGGAGTAGTGTGTTTTTCTTGTTTTCATTCTTTATCGTCGTCGGAAATATCCTCACAATTGTTCTCTTCGCAGCCAACAAGAGAGCTCGTAAAAAAAGTTTGTTTCTTGTCATTAACATGGCCTTTGCTGATCTACTGTTAGGAGTTTTTTGTCTTCCTGTGTTCAATTACTTTATCATCAGCAGTGGTTATCAGCTTTCGATGACAAATGTGAATTGGAAGTCGAATGTAGTCTATAATATCCCTTACAGCATTTCATTAGGGGTTTCACTTATATCTGCAGCTTTCATATCATGTGAGAGGTTTTACGCCATATATTGGCCATTCAGACACCGAAGAGTAACAGTTCGAACATATCACATTTTCATTTTTATATCGTGGACGCTAAATGTCCCAATGAATGCTATTGGCTACGTTTATTTAAAATCAAACAACGATTTCATCAGGTATGTCAATACATCATACATTTTTGCTGTAACATGCATCATCTGTGGATGCAATATCGCCATTTGGAGAAAATTTCAACACGGAGACGTCATTTCACAACAGAAAAACAGAGACGTGCAGAATGTGCGTTTGACAAAAACTTTAATGTTTGCTTCCATACTTAACTTGCTTTGCTGGATCCCTTTAGCTACGGTGTATGGTATCGACCATGAAAGTGTTTCAATACCGATGAGATGGTTCGTTATTACTGTTGCTCTCAATAGTTGCAACGCATTTATAAACCCTTTACTGTATGCAGTGAGAGTTCCGGAGTTTCGAAAAGCGTTGGCGCTGAGCTGTGTCAGAAAGCGCAAAAAAATGAACCCAGAAAATATTAAAATCAGAGAAAATCCCGCAACTGTTTTGTCACGAGAGACACGCTCAAGGGCTTGTCAGAGTGATTCCAATACCAATGCACTTAAGTTTCATAAAAACTTTATGGAAACCAAACTGTAGTTTACCTGCTATAAAACAAATAGAGATCTGCATGGCTGTGAAAATGCGAAAAAATAACATTTATTTATAAAGTTTGAAAAATGAGAGAAATAATCTGTGATATCAACCACTAATAACGCATCAGTGGTTGATATCACAGATAATAGAAAAAGATACTTGAGAAGCCAAAAGCAGATATCAGAAAACAGCCCGAATGAGAGGATGATAAGTCCACTCCCAAACTAGTTCTACCTGCATGAAAACAAAAAATCATCATTGTCACTTATATTAAGGTTTTCTTAAAGCTCTTTCTAGTATGTTTTAAGGCACATTTGTTGCCAGCTAGCATGGTAGTATGATTATAATGACGATGATGCCGGTGGTTGTAGCGGTATTGATGATGATGATGACGACACATAGAAGTAGATCGTATTATAGCATCTTACTAACAACTTGAAATTAATTATTTTATTCTTAAATCACTGGTTATAATCATGGATTGAAATTACACCAGTTCAGTTGTTATTTTTAGGAGTAAGCTTTAATTTGACTTGCAGAGAAGCACTGTCACGGATGAAATGAGTTGCATTTATTGAAAAAATTCCTGCATTGCTAAATTTCAAATTAAAAGTGATACAGAATAACGAAAAGAAAAAAACTCAAACTCTCTCAATGCTTGGTCCGCAGAGTTAGCAAGTCTAGTATATGTCGGCTCCAAGTTCAACATTTTGTCATTTTATGTATTTTTTTCGTGAAACTTACTCTGCTTTTATTTATACTTTTTCTTCCCCTTGGAAAAGCTCTGATTAATTATTTATTCTTTGCAGGATGAAAAAGAAGAATATGAATTGTCTACTGCTTGTGATTTTTTTTCACTGATCCCCTAAATTGCAGTTTAGTAAGGAAAATTATTGGAAAAGTCGGCAAACCCGCTAAGGATGTCAATAACAGAATCTTTTGTTCTTTATAAACTCAATGTTATTTTGTGAAATAATTGGTTGAAAAAATACTTCTCTGAAAATTGTGCCGATTTCTCTCTGCATGGACAGTTGATTTACCCGCAATCGACTGAATGCCTGGGTAATCAAGCTGACCTTGTTGGGTGAACCGAGATTCGATTGCTCATGCAAACATACTATTGATCCCGAAATATATCACCACAGCTTTAGAGTCTGGTAGCGATTGTTAATCTTGTTTATGGTAGAGACTGAAAGTTCCAATCGCTCAGTTACAAATTGGCAACAATGAAAACATCTGCTGCAAAAAAGATCAAGACCCTTTTTTATCCAACAGCGCTTTCAATTTGCAGAAAGAAACCAAAAGTGCACAATTAAATCCAACTGTTGCAGATATTGATAGAATCTTCTGCTGCTTCCACGCACGTTCAAGCAATTTGTGCAATCAATCAAGGGGGGGATTTCTAACTTAAAAGTTCAGTATGCTTCATTACAAAGGGAGAACAATCCGAACACATTTTAAATGCCTCAGTAAAGAAACGAAAAAAAAAACGTATTTCTTTTGCAAAGCTGTCGGTCAAAAATCTGAACAAAAGCATCGAATAAAGTTTTGGTTTTCAATCTTCTTTTCTTTTGCTTTCTCGTCAGGAAAATTTATTAACAGAATCTATTCCCCTTTGTGACAGCAGAAGAGGAATACCACTTTTTATCTCCATTGTTCAGCACTTTCAATTTCTCTCTACTTATAAAAGAAAAATGGCACAGCCGGTAAATCCTAAAGGTGCGAACAATGAAATATCTATCTATCATGAAAGGTAATTTGTTAAATTATTTGTTTGCATCTAGAATAGCCCTTTGAGGGGTAAAGCTGGTGTTAATTTCATTCATTCTTCCTAACAGTGGATATGCACCGCTGTTAGGCAAGTTGGTCACTACTCTCAAATATGACTTAATGGCGCAAACTCGAAAAGCTTTCCTATGAAGCGTGGTAGACTTAATCTTCAAAGAAGATAACCTTTTGCGCGAGATGGCACCGATGAATAACACATCTTCAGCAAATGTTAGCATAGATGTAAAATCTGGTTTGTCCTTAAGCGCTCTTTCGAGGCCAGAAGGTATTGCATGGTGCACTGTTTTCTCCTTGCTTTCTTTATTTATTACTGTTGGAAACCTCCTCACAATTGTCCTCTTCGCGGCTAACAAAAGAGTTCGTAAAAAGAGTCTTTACCTTGTGATCAATATGGCTTTGGCTGATCTGCTGTTAGGGGCTTTTGCTCTTCCCCTTTACATCTATGTCTCAATTAACAATGGTTATCAGTTTTCGCTGAAGATTGTGAATTCGACTTTGGCTCGTGTCTATGGGCTCTCATACGGAATTTCACTCTGGGTTTCATTGACATCTGCAGTTTCCATATCATGTGAGAGGTTTTACGCCGTATATTGGCCATTCAAACACAGAACACTAACCGCGCGAACATACCACGTTGCCTTGTTTGTTTTATGGACACTTTGTCTTCTGAAAGCCACTGCCCCTTTTTATTTACGATCATACAACTATTTCATCAGTCATGCTCGTTCATCATACGGTGTCACTGCAGGAAGTATTATTTGCGCAAGCAACATCGCCATTTGGAGAAAGTTCCGCCACGGAAACGTCACTTCACAACAGAAGAAAAGGGACGAGAAAAACGTTCGTTTGACGAAGACTTTAATGTTTTCTTCTATTCTTAATTCGTTCTGCTGGGTCCCTTTGAATATTGTGCTCGGTGCCCTGAATGAGAGTGTTCCAGTACCGATGAGATGGGTCGTTATTGCTATGGCTCTCAATTGTTGTAATGCTTTTATAAATCCAGTTATGTATGCATTGAGAATTCCAGAGTTTCGACAAGCACTGGCTCTCAGCTGTGTCACAAAGCGAGTTGAAATGAAACCAAGAATAGTTACAATCAAAGGAAACAACGAAACCATTTTGAGAGGAGAGACAAAACTAAGAGCTTGTCATAATGAGTCTGATGAAGTGGCATTAAGGTTTGATAACGATGAAATGGAAACCAAACTGTAGCCAACCTAGGTATGTAACTGATACAAATTTCGCCATCTGTAAAATTTGAAAAACAACACAACAACAACAATAATAATGTCTATAGCGGAGCTATAGCATTTAAAGCGCACGAGCAGAGCCCCATATCACACGTGTTTCTGTAGCTCGTGCAACCTACAAAATTTAGATAACGCGTGGATAGCATGTAAATGGCATGTCATCAAATTGAGGCGATCAGTGTTCTTAATCTTGCATTAATAACTTAATGGAGTCTGACATTATGGTTTGTTGATCTTTAAAAAAAAGTGTTTATTTGCTATCACTGTCAAATCGTTTCCATTCATAATCTTTCTCACTATCCTCGTCGATCAACTCGTTTTGTTTTATGTTTTGTTTTCCTATCTTACGAAACAGATGTTTTGTTTTTTCTTTTGATGGAGGTACATTTAGTTTTGCATGACGTAGAAAACGATTCAAAATTTAAACCCTTCTTTCAGTTCTCTTCCATTCTGATTTCTCAAATAAATAATTTGCTACTTGAATACACTCAGCAGTATACTCAGCGTACAAATGTATGTTTCCTATAAGAAGCAAGGACATGCTCAGATTTATACTTCATTCAGCAGTCAAAGCCGTAAACTTTCCATTTTTATCTAGCGAATTGTCTCGAATCGCCGGTCTTTCTTTTAAATATCTTGGCTTTCTGTTGTAACTTCGAGCTTTTATATCCCGTACCATACCCTCCGCCGCCACCACGTCTCTGAATTCTCTCTCCTTTACTGCTGTGGACATCTGGTAGAGTTTGTCAAGGCTGAATATACAAAGTGTCGTAAACACCGGCGTTTAAGCTGCCCCGCTTTTCCCAAAATTCGGGGTGTGCCTCATTTACGAGTGCAAAGTACTAAGTTAAAATCAGATGCCGAGGAAGTAAAAGTTAACATGGATTGTCAATAGAATTACAGAGATGATATATTTGTTAGCTCGGTGATGTAATCGAGGAAGATGGATTTTCGTCTTATCACTAGTATGGGACAAAGAAAAAATCCAAAGTCTCTGTAAGGAACTTTTTCTTGGCCTAGAACACTAACTTCACCTGAATTAAACAATAAAGGCCTTGAGGGATATGTTAAGGAGAGTTTTGATGGTGATAAAAGGATACTTATATTCACTCGCGGAGGGACCACAAAGCCAAAGGCAGGAGCTACTCTTTGAAGGTCGAGAGCGTTCACGTTAAAGATACTCTTGTGTTGATGCGAGGCGTACGCCTGTAAATACGATCTGTAGGCTTCTCGAGCCGATTTATGGAGGTAGTAGTTCTTTTCTATCAGTTTTTCCAACTGTGAGAAAAATAACTTTCATAAATGGTTGGAAAAACAAAAAAGCGATGAAAAAGAGTCGATCTCACGATAAAGTAAAATCGTTTGTTTGTAGGACCCTCTAACGAATGATGTAAACCACGACGTTCGAATTGCATTTTGCTAATTTTCGTCAGGTCTTGACGTCGACTTACATGTATGAATAGAAAACTTGCTTATGAGAGTAGCAAACCTTACTCCCGCTTTTTTCTAATTTAAAGGCTCGTGTTTACGTGTAACCTAGCAACGATTTTCAACAACAACAAAGCATACTCGATCCTCGTGTAAAACAGCAATGCTACTGGTATTCAAAAGGTAATGGGCATCTAATTCGAACCATGATTACTGTGCGTAAATAAATAAAAATAAAATACTTTACCTGGGATTGAATGTTGTATATTTTAGATGCTGAAAAGTCATATTCATTGAGAGGAACCTTGAACAGAAAAACAAAAATCAACCTAACTCTTTTATGTTTAAAATAACCAAATAGTCAGTGTCCCGTTAACAACGTGTAAGTTGCAGTATCTCCACCGTAATTAAACTGTAAACGAAAAACTGCCACTTCTTACTGAATACTCACTAAGCTAGTTATTTTATCTATTTATCTCTTTTTAAAGTTAAGCCATTGTTTAGCAAAACAACCCTGTGGCTGACACTGGAGCAAAATTTAATTTCTTCAAAAACTCACAGTATGTCGATTTACTGCCTTTAATCGAAGCCAAAGTTAGACTTCGTTTGAATGACCGACCAACCCTTATCTTCCAAATATCAAACGGAACACCAACGAACATGTACCTCTCGTTTAAAATCTAACTGACCTTGGCCTGCTTGAGATATCGTAGAAATGCAAGCTCCTCAGGTAATAAGAGAAGTAAGGCATGACCACGCCCCTGATTTCCACGAGCTGTTCTTCCCACTCTGTGAATGTACTCCTAGCAGACAAAAACACACCAGTTCATAGAAAGATACTGTAAAGTGCAATTACGTGCGAAATAGTGCAAACAATCTTCAGTCAAGGGAACTCTACTTCTTTCCATCAATCCCTATAATGTACGAGAACATTGTAAAAATAAAAACCGCTTTAACCCTTTATCGGGACTACAATAGTACATTACCTTAGGGTCATCTGGGGGGTCAAACTGAACAATCCAGTCCACTTCCGGTATATCCAGGCCCCGAGCTGCCACATCAGTACACAGCAAAGTTCCAGATGTAGCATTGCAAAACTCAAAAAACGTTGTGGTACGTTTTTGTTGCTTTTGCTTTCCCTTCAAGGTATAAGAATTTGATATATTCGTCAGAGCGAATGCACGGAACGTCAGCTTTAGAAATTTTCACGATGGTCAATTTTCGTTATTAACATGGTTGATGAAACCAAATTATCTTGAAACGCCCTCATCAACATAGCACCACAGTTTCTTTCAAAGCAACACCCCTCCCCCCTAAAAGAAATAGTGTTTGATTAGTATCACAATCATTCAGATAATTATCAAGAGGAATACGTTTTCAAGTCCTGGGGGGGGGGGGCGCGTCGTTTTAACGGGGGTTACACCGTACTCACATGAATATGAGCCACTGGCAGATCAATGTAGTTCAGCAGTTCATAGTGGTACTTGACAGAGTTGCAGGATGAAAAAAACACCATAACTTTCTTATTTCTGTTCTTCTTGAGGAAAGTGAACAACACCAGGAAACGCTTCTCTGAAGGAACCACAATGTATCCCTGTATTGTAAAAAAGACAGCTTGTTACAACAGAACATTGGTTAAGATCTGAGTTCAGAACACAATTGAAACAAACTTGGGCATAACAAAACAGTATCAAATACATGATCTCTCTACCTGTTCAAGGCCCTCAACAGTTGATGTCTCCCTGTGATCATCAACACCCACATAGAGGGGAGACTTCTTGAGAGAAACACGGGCAAGATCCTCCACATTCCTGGTCTGAGTGGCTGAAAACAAAACTGTCTGCCTGCGAACTAGAAATCAACCCGCTATCAAATAAATTTGTATACCATCCTCCTCTTGTCATATCTACTGAACATGGTTCACTGTATATACTCCATGTGCCAAGGAACTATCTTTAACCAGACCACAATTTAAATCTACAAATGTTCTACCACAAGAGTTGATAAGGTTTTGCCTTCATCAGCTGTCAGGCAAAAGAAATCAAGAGCAAATAATCTAATTTTTAAATGTCAAATATGCTAATCCATTGAAAACTATGGAATCTTACCTGGTAAAAGTCGGACAATTTGTTTCATTTCTTCTTCAAAGCCAATTTCCAGGATTCTGTCAGCTTCATCTATGATCAGACACTGGAGATTCTTGAAAATAAAACCTTGCGTATTCTGAGAAATAGACCAAGGGGAATTAAATCAGTAAGAGCTTCATATAGGTAAATATTTATACTTGTAGAAGAGAGTTTACCAGTAAATCCACAGGGCAGTAGGCTTGTCCACATCTCCAACTATTTTTAATAAAATTCTTAAAACTGCAATGACTGCTGATAATACTGACCCAGATTTAATTCCCATCGAAATGTTTATGTGTTTTTATGTGTTTTCATAGACAGACTAACAGCAACCATGAACAGATATTGCACAACCTAACTGTGGGTGGAGATAGGCACTTATCAGGCAAAGGTCTCTCCAAAGATCACAAAATTGTACTGTGTTCCTTGAAACCAAATCCTGTGATCAGGGGTCGAACATTGAAAATCATGAACCTGAGAGGCAGAAATGCATCTTTGTAATGGGCAATCATCACAAAAATAAAGCTGAGTATCAATTATAAAACTCACTTGTAAGTGATCCAGAAGCCTTCCAGGGGTTGCTATGAGTAAATTGACACCCTTCTGTAGGCGATCTGCTTCACCCTTGCGATTGGCTCCACCCATAACAATCCCAAATGTGTGATTGTGGTATTTGAGCAAGTCCCGGGCCACACCATAGGTCTGAAGAGACAGCTCTCTTGTTGGTGAGATTATTATCACTCCAGTACCTAAATGCCAAAAGAGACAAATATTAAAGTAAAAAAAAATTCAGACATATTGGTCTGATGATTCTTATGTCTGAACCTTACATTACTTTTCATAGCTTAAAGAGTCTTAAAGAGTATAAGCATTTCTTTTGACTAGAGCACTATTCTCCCAGAAATTGCTTAATTTTCCTTGAAACTTTGTTGGGACCCATTCATTGTTATACTCCTTGGTGAAAAAAGGCACTCTGAGAGTAAATTTACTCACCAAAGAACAAAACTCAACCCCACCAAGTCCCAGACCTCTTATTCATGGTCTATGGAACTAACTGCTGAGCCACCATCCCACCCACAATTCATTGCAGAACTTAAAAAGTACAAAGAAGTTGACTGCATGAAAATAATGAAGACCAAGGCACTTATTGTAACAAACATGAACATGTAGATGCTTACCATTTCTTGGCTTAAAGCTCAGCTTGTATAACAGTTCCACTGCTGGGATGAGAAATGCCAGAGTTTTTCCACTGCCAGTTCTAGCAGCTCCTAGTAAATCCCTAACACAAGAAACTTGGCATTAAATTCTTGCAGAGCACAATGTTAATGGATAGAATTCATGAACTGCAAATGACCCTCCAGAATATCTTTGACTTTCTTCTAGAAATTATCTTAAATCCAAGTAAAATTAAAACACAAGGGTACATAGACAAATAGCTAACAACTCAAACTGGAGCTGGTAAATATTTGATTCCTAGCATATATTCCCTTACATAAAAACAATGCACAACCATTACACAGGAATTTCTCTGTTTGTTTGAATATTTAATTCACCCTTCTATAAGAGGTATTCATTGCCTTACCTTTTTCTAAATTCAATTGAAATCACTTTACTGGTTTTCCATACCCAAATAAAATGGATTTGACCAACTAAAGACTTTTAGATTACCCAACCTTCAACATGTATATATGCATGTACATGTGCATTTATCACAGAAATTATGTGAACATAAATGTTCACGGCAAAGACTTCATATCATGGAATACATGTAGACCATAAGTAAATACGCGTAGCTTCTATGACTATGAATATATGAAAAATATGTAGCTTCTATTCACAAGAATTTATCAATTATTATGAGTGATAATTCATCTGCTCTTTCATATCAGCATCTCAAAAACTAAACTTGCACCTTGAACCTCAATCATTTCCTGAATCTGAAATAATCACTGAAATACATGCACTGGTCTAAAAGTATCAACTATACACCAAACATTGGAATCATACTGTACCTTCCCTTAAGCAGTGGTACAATACTTTTGTGCTGGATTTCCATCATGTTTGTGAAGCCCATGTCAGTAATTGCATTAAGTGTCTTCTCACTCACAAATTCTTTCAGGGACTGAAACTCTGTACTATCTGGAACTGAAACATCTGAAGAAGACAAAAGTACAGTTATCCATTTGTGTTCTATGGTTCTGTTCAGTACTAGATCACAGAAAATGTAAAAATGTGGCTGCACCTTGTGTGTCACTTTTTTGATCTTACCATATTTTGATTTCTCCTGTGATCTATTACTGTACAGACCCTTGGTAACATAGAAACTATTTGTTTCATAATATGATAACAAAGCAAAATACAGTTAATAATGACATTATCTTCCAATGGATGCATCTGTCCTCTAATAAATCACGAGTAAGAACAAATTAAAATGCAAGTGTAATTCTGCATATCATACATGGAACTGATTGACCGTGACCTTCAGATGCTCTTGGTACAAGTAGAGTTCACACTTGAGCCACTGTTCTACTGTAACATGTGCTGTGTTCAATTGAGTATAGTAAACATTATAATTTACCTTCTGGTAAGCTAACGCTTTCATATGAATTTTTCTTCTTCTTCGCTACAGGAGCCTCCAAGCCATCATCATTTGGCAATACAGTATCAGTATCTAAATTTCAAACCACAAAACTTAAGTTATTAGCAAGTGCATCAACAACATTGAATACAAAAGCTAAAAACCAGTTGCATATATAAAAAGTGCATTTACTAACTTCATCAGATGGACAAGAAGAAATCTAGGGCAAAAAACTAAAATTGCCCCTGATTCAAAGTTGTTCATCGAAGTTTCGTTTTAACTTGGTACTGCTTAGCTAACAACATTGCAAAGGGGGGAAGTGTGGGAATACATCACATGGTGAACAGTTACCTCTTGTCGTAACTACATGTCTCAACTACTTTTGAATGCATAGAGCGATGAATCAGTCAAATGAGCATTACTTTACAAGAACGTGCACCATACATGTAGTTTCACAGGTGAATGGCACACGGCGTCCTAAATATAACTACTGAGAGTTACCTTGGGGAATCGATTCTTCTTCTGAGACACTGCAGCCTTGTGTCTTCGATTCTCCCTCAGATACATTGAATGCTCGAATTTCCTTTTTTCCTTTCACCTTTTTAGCCCTTGCAACTGTAAATCACAATAAAATATCAACTGTAATTATACAGACTCGGACAAAACACGACAGGAACTGCATCTCAAACACATGTGGTTTACCGGCTTATTGAGTCTTACCTTTTTCGATCGCTGAATCACTGGGACGCATCTTTCGTTTGAGCACTTTCCTCTTCTTCTGTTTTATATGCCTATCCATAGCAGTTCTCAATAAGGAACTTTATATTACAGTATATCCTCCAATCTTTCTGTTAACCGCACTTAAAACACTCACACAAATTCAGACACTTCAGACACGTGAAAATGATGCCTTAGTAGCCGCGCCTTCCAGGAACCCGCTGATCTGTTCACAGGCGCGACTCTTCTATGAACTCCCAGGACAATATTCCCGTTTGATCGTTCTTTTGTTAACATGTGTTTCCTCTTTTCACAGATAAAATGGTTTTCAGGGCCTCAGGAATTTCTTTTACTACGTTGAGATTTGTTTCTGCAAAAATAGATTAGTGGGAGACGCTTTCACGCTTCTGGTAGCAAACTAACAGAGGATGAGTCTATCATCTCTTGAATAATGGTTATTAGTAGGTACTAAAACAGCGGATAGCGCTGAATGTGCACTCTGATTGGCCAAAAAGCTCTGAATATCCTTTGCCATTCACCTCGGGGCATTTGTGCGAAGGATTTACTCCCGAAAATATTGTAATCGGTGTAGGAATAAACGAGTTAAAATTATCTCAGTTTTGAGCAATATTATCTTACTGTTTTAGTATGATATTCACCTCAGCGTAAGTGGCTAGGGGTGGATAATTAATAGTATGAAGCAGGAAAAGCCGATAGAAAAAAAGTTCATTCTCGCTCGTCCATTAGCCATTTAAACCATTCTAAACTGATCCACTTTCTTGTGCCATAAACAATTTTTACTTTCGATTATGTGACACTGAGATTATCCTAAATCGTGACACCACAGTTTGCTAGTAAAAACCAAAACAACAACAACAACAACAGAGAGACGGGAAGGAGGTCTATACACAAAAAGGGGAAAAGATGTTTCCGTCTAACGGAAATGTTGTAACAAAACATCATAGAACTGACAAGCGGGAGGGGGGGGGGGGTCACAAGAGACTAAGAAAGAGTAGAACTTTGGACCGTCCGTGTTTTTATCAAATGAAAATGCAGATGAATGATACTTGCTTCGCATTTGTATTAATAAAACTTAAAAATGTAAATCTGGGTAAAATTTGGCATTAACTTCCTCAAAAGCTAACAAATAAGCTAAAAATGTAAACGTTTTCACTCCAAGTTAAGTAAAATTTGAGGGAGCTCTGAATGTTTTCAACAATATTGGTGTGATCGTGCGATCCTTAGACTACTTTTGTAGACATTTGTAGACATTTTTATTTTCATTTAATATTTTTCTTTTAACCAGAAAATGTTGTGAAACACTGATGGGGAAAGTGCTTCCGAAACATCAAAAAGTTGTCAAGTCTCAGTTTAACGCACAAATTATCAACTGTCGACTCTGAGTTAATTCATGACCATTCATGGGAATTGTAAATTGAGCTCAGAGCACTCTGATGCCTCCAATAACCGGTATATAAAAGCTGCTTTTCAAGCTAAAAACTTGAGATCTCGAGTATCTCAGTACTTACAGGCTATATCATCACATGTACCAACTCTGCCACTTCGTTACGAACGATTTAAAATGTATTAGCCAGAACTAGTATTAAATCTAAATGGTTCAGAATGAATCTTATTAGTTAAGGTGCCAATTTAACCAATAATCTGAAAATTTTCGCTTTAGTATTGGTCTGACTCTTGATTAAAAGCGTCAAAGTTAAAAAAACCCAGAATTGACAAGTATTAGAACTTCAACCATTGAAGAAACGAGGTGAAAGTGATACTGTAATCTTAAATGACATTGCATTTTTTCTAACTTCACGCGCTTCTACTTCTCAAAGAAAAACCACTACCTCTAAAGGAAATACTATCGGTTTACCTAAAAGCAGTAAAGATCAAAGAAACACAATTGATTCTTTCCTAAACACCAGCAAATAAGCTCGCTTTGGATCAAGAACTAGTGTCTGTGACAATTCGCTGCCTATGCAAACGGGCAACTCATAAATGTAGCCCTTTTCAGCCATATATCAGCATTCCGTCTTTCCTTTACAGGAAATATGGACTGGTTTACCTAAAAGCAGTAAAAACCAAGGAACACATTTTATTCAATCTTTAATAAAAGCAAGGAAGAAAGCTTTGCGGGATCAGGTGACTATGTCATTCTAATGATTTCTATAGGAAAAGGCAACCCATTGAATGTTTCACCGTTTCCTCTCGCCTTTAGACGGTCTAAACCGTTATCATAAGTACGGTTCTTGAACAGCTTCAGGCGTCAGAAAGGCCCTATATATTTGACTAGTAATTAACGATAGCGTACGATGATGACTCATGATTTAATTGGGAGGACTTTAATGGCACCCGAAAAGAAAATAATGCAAGAATTCAAAGTCTTTTTTTCCTAACTCAACACTGTTCACTCCGCTGAAAAGAAAAAAAAAAAACAAGAAAAACAGATAGGAAGAAAACTTTAGCTCTGATTAAGGCAGGTGATGTTGATCGATGTTGTCACTACAGTGACGGGCGATGTTGTCACTATTTGAAGGGCGAATGGTGATCGCTAATGGTCCTAATGGCGAATGGTGATCGTTAGACAGGTGATGACCGAGAATCGATTTTAGCGGTCATTCAGAGAGGTTTATGCAAATTTTATGGCCCTTTTCTATAAACGTGTGGGGAACAAATTATATAGAGGCCATGTGCACAATTAATAACTGATATTGATTTCATACGTAATTTGAGACCGATATAACTTAATGTTTAATACCTGATGCAAATAGCTTGCAACGGAAACGCCACTGAGTGTTGCCATTAAAATGATTAGGAATATTATCGATTAAATATACACCTCTCCTTGAGTAGAGGGTAGCTGAAAGCACCATTAGTGCTGCGATTGATGGTTGATTTCCTCGCTTTGAACAAGGATTTGAGCTGGTGTGGAAGGTGAGAAAGACAGGCTAACGTGTATTGCATCGAGTAGGGCTGTTTCGTGAGGTAATCATTTTGTAGACATAAGTTCAGGACTTTAAGTCAAATGTTTTCTGGGACCTGATCTAAAATTGTGACCCTAACAGTTGCTCCAAGCTAAAATTTAGCTTAAAGTAACTGAAATCGATAATCGATTATTCGTAAAAAAAAAATTAGATAGATAGATGGTCAGTAACGAATGAGTTTGTTTGAAAAAAGGAAAAAAAGAAAAGTCAGGACATGTTTTTTTTAAACAGAGAACGGTACCCTAAAATATTGTCATGTCATCAAACAGTGGTTGCTTAAGAACCAGTCACGTTGTGACGGCGACCAATCGTGACGAATTAGATTAAGTAAAGGAGAGAAATGAGAGAAGCTGTAATGAAGAACAGGGAGGCAACAACATTTTGCCTCATTGCCTTAGATTTGTAGTAACTCGGTCTTAACAACTTGAACCATAACCAGAAGCCATTCTAAGAGTAGGTCAGAAACTGAGTAAAACTGAAATTAAGTCTAGTTTCATAGTTTTGTATAAAACGAAACTTTAACTGACCGCGGTTCTGATTAATGTGCTCCACAGATGCCAGAGAAATAAATTTTACAAAAAATTTATGAATACAAGTAGCCGCATTTCTCAATATGTAAACTATCGTTACGAATCTTTGCAAACGAAATAGATTTTCCTCAATATACAAGTTTTTAAAACTCATTAAATCGTCTTATGGTTCTTGAAACACTCAGGCTTTTAATACGTGCAAAGATAATTCCAGTACGTTCCTCACAAGGAATAAACCACATTTAATTCTATTTCACGCAAGGTTTTGGGAAAATTTATTGTAATAAGATCAATTTCAAATACAAAAAGCGCCGACGGAATGACTTTTCTCCAATTTCAAATACTATTATATTGATGTCGAATTTTACTGACTTTTATTTTAAAAGGCACTAGGATATAATTTCCGCTTTCCAAAAGTGTTGAAATGATTACGTCACACAAATGCATCGCCTTCACAATAATCGATTCAGAACAATTATACAAATTGAAAATAAAATTTAGTACTATCTTCTTTTTTTCAGTAATTTGAATTAGGCAAATGGCAATAGAAAAATAAAGTGGTTATGATCAACGCAAACCAAATGTAAAATTCATCCGTTTCATGTTAACAGACATTTTACGGCAGCTCTGTAATGGAAAAGGGTCGCTCCTGCGCTCAATTCGATTCCGATTTTGAAAAATTGACAGAAATGCTTCATGTTAATTAGTGCACATCAATTTAAAAGGTTTTAAAACAATTAGGTCTGACTATTTCTAACAACAGTTCAGTGCAGTTAAATCGCCATGAAGAAGCTGAATCGGGAACAAAGGTGACGTTTAAAACCCTCAAGTTCATTTTTCAGCGTGTAAACCCGACTTATTTCTTCTTAAGATAAACAGAAGCCGCAAAATTTCTTGCTGCATACGACCACTGGTTTAACAGGATTCTCGTCGCTTTCTCTTTCGATCCAACTCTCCCAATGCACGCGAAGCTCCTCTGGAACTGATCCAGGTAATGGCCGACGTTTTGTATTGGCAGAAATCACTTACACATTACGCTTATGATAAAGAAAAAGGCGCAGTAATTTCAAAGATGCAATTTAAAAAAAAGAAAAGGTCATATCAGTCACTAAAGGAGAAACACTGAGGTGAAAACGAAGGTGGAAATGGAAGATAAAATGATACAAGATCATAGCATGATCCTAACAAAATTACAGATGGGAATCTTGGGGGGAATTCGTTCGGCTTCATAATTTAATTTTTAGAAGAGTAACAACGTGTCTAGATGTATAGTAAGAGACAAAGGGAAGGAGCTTTTGAGCGGTTGTAACGCCAGGAAAAAGGACTGGCAAAGAAATAATTTACAACCGAAGAAAATTGAATTTCCTAATATCCGAGTATCACTGTCATCTCTGTCAGCATCACCATGCTCAGCATCGTTGTCAATACCAACAACATTTTCATAATGATCTTCATCGGTTTTCATACCGTCCCCCCGGCTTTCCTGAATTAATTTCTTGTTAACAACCATGATATGGTTCATCTTTTTAGCTACATCTTAATGGTTTGTAGTGGCCCATTTGATTTCCTCTGACTATTCTGTCCATGCAAACCTGGTAGAAATGGGTGTTAGCGATGTTTTGAAAGTCATGAGGTCTACGTTGACAGAGGTTTCAAATGAGGATCTTTAGTGCACAAATGGTGAGGAAAATGATTCATTTTTTAATTTTAGAAGCGGATATAAGAAATAGATGTTCGTAGATAGATATCCACCGAAACTGTGAGGTTAAAATGATATGAAGATGATGATATGATAGAAGGAAAAAGTTTTTATTTTCATGGCACAGTTGTTACAATCAGGACTCAAGAACAGCGTATGAAAAACCAAAGTAATTATAACAGGCAATCAGAGCAAAGGGGAATATGTGAAAAGAAGAAACAAGAAACAAGAAGATGCAATTTATGAAAAACCGGAGTTATCACTATGACAGGCAATCAGAGCAAAAGGAAATATGTGAAACCAAGCTAATTATAATTCAAAGTAAAAATATGCAAACTGCTTCAAGCGCGGGAAGACGCGAGTCACCAAGTCGTTACTGGTTTTAGGTTTGAATCTGATTGGTTGAAAGATGGCGGCGCGAAGTTTCTGGACCAATTACACAGAAAAGTAAAACAAATTGAAGCAGTCTCGGATTTACTTCCCACACTCTAATGAAAATTCCTCTGATTCGAAAGAAAAGCAAAACATCATCAAAAAATAATGAGTTTTTTTTAGTGTTAATTAGGTCTAATTCTTGAGCATAAATTTGACCACATTTCTAAGTTCTCTTTTGTTGGTAGAAGATTCGTGTTCCAAGGGTTTGGACAGAGCATAGTGGATGTTAAAGCTGAGAATCATAAGATTAGTGAGCGACAGGCCAAGTACGAACACACCAAAAGTAGAACAAACTTTAAAGATCAATAGCTGATTTAAACACGACTGGCAAACTCACAGAATAAAAAATCGACAAGTGATGTACAATGGCTTAGCAACCACTCCTGCGAGGCAATCTGAGGCGGCCAGGCTAGGACTGAAGGCTAAATACACCCCATCCCTCCGCTCCAGGTTTCTCTGGCAATTCCCAAACGAGTATCTTAAGGAAATTTTCAATAAGGAGTAAAGAGAAACTTACAGTTGATTTGATTTAACTTGATTTCGCTCTGTGATTGGTCAAGAAAACCCGCACCACCCTCTCAACCAATCAGATGCATTGTATTTTCCCGCCCTTATGATTACTTTAGATTTGGTCTTTGTCACTCAGTTAAAATCTGCTCTAACTTAATTTTAAACTAACAGTAGCTGGTTTTCTTGATTAAGTTTGGTTAAAACATATAACTTAATTGTTCCAAAGAATCTTGGGGTTTTAAAAAAGGTGCCCAGTATTATCATGTACATATAAAAATGCAAAATGAGGGGATTTTCCATGATATTTACCAGTTATGATCTACATCATGATGCATATTTAAATGTAATTTAAAATTTAAATCAAGTCGCGTTTATATTAAAATGACCAAAAAAAAAAAAAAAGGATCTTAAAAGGCATGAAAACCATTTCAAAGAAACGGAAAAAAAATTGCTTAATGTGCAAGTGATGTTACTTCTACTTCAGCTGTCTTCTGATGACGCGGTCTGCATAATTATTTTGGAATTTTTGATATACATTATTTATGAAAACGTTGAAACAACCTTCATCTAGGAACACTGCCATCTGTTACTCCTTTTCTACCCTCTGGGCAATCTTTAAATGTGTCGCCAATTTAAACAAGCTGCATGCATCGTAAGTAGTCTTCAGCAAGCATATCACTTACTGCATCTTTACTTTTAAATATCAGTATTTTGAAATCACAATTTCGTATACGTTCATGCGATCCGTGCATCCGTTCCTTTATCAATCTGCTTTTCCAGTTTTGCTTCGGACAAAAGCCTTGTCGCTCTACTTCAGTTTTAAGCCTAAATAACTTGTATCAACTGAAGAAGCAAGATAGTTCACAAGAGGTTTTTAGAAAACTCGTTAGAGCTAAAGCAAAGAGACTTTTCGAAAAATATTTATCAAAAAATATAAATTACATACCAAGAAAACCCACCACGGCAAACGTATCGTTACGTCTAAGATTCGAATTAGATATTAGCTGATAACTTCCAGCTTCCATAACTAACAGGTTGAAGAATTACTTGAATCAGAAGAGGTACATGTTTTACCTTGCTATAGAAATACGATTTGTGGACTGAAAATCAAAGTAGAACCGTGGAGCCACCTCACTCGCACCTCATTGAAGCAAGGCTGTCATTTGCTGTCATTTCTGATGCGGCACGTATTTAAATGATCAAGATAAATTCTTAGAATCGCATAATTTAGTTTGATTCAACATCATGAAGAAGAGATCAATTTTATTTCTTAACATCAAAGCGTTCGCCTTCTAGTTTTAATTGAATATATCCGCTAAAGGGAAAGAAGCTATCTTACTGATTGTGCGGCTAGTGCCAGGCTGAAAGCATCGAGGTTAGTCTGTCGAAAAACGTAGCAAAAAAATAACAATTATTTCTTGATCTTTATAATCGGGCAGTAGCAGAGGACATATTTTGGTATTCTTTCTTAGTAAGTGAACTGTATGCCCTTTTTCACTTTTATTTGACTGCAAAAAATAAAAAATAGGGTGGGATTCAATGATGAATTTGGCATCGCTTGAAAACGTAAGAAACTCTGGTAATTTCGAAGTTTTAGACAGACGTTATTTTAACTCTTCCTTCAATGAGTCATGATCAGGTTTATAGCGCGGAAACAGCATTATCCTCAGAAAAATAAGAATGCTAATTCTTTTGGGACCTCGTCAGAGATCAGTAACAAATATGGGGTTAATTTGGAAGGTATCTGATGAAAGGTTTCCATTCCACATAACACGAATTCTTATCACAGCTGGATCTTCGATGACCCTCATTAGAATCTTACTCTTTAGCTTAAATCTATTATCCTTGCTGTACAACACTGAATAGGATTGAAGAATGGATCCGCAAAGATAACAACTGTAGAGCGAAATATCCCTCAGGAGGAAGAGAGGTGTTATTTAAATTATTTGTAAGAGCGCAAATTTGATCTCAGCTTCTAAAAATTTGGAAATACGTATAAATAGATGCTTATGTAGCAAACCGTAAAAGCTATTTTCTCAGAAAACGCAAGCTACCTTGCAGTTTCATTTTTGTAGTTCAAACGATATATATTTCTTCACAAATAAACAAATCTGTTGATATGCGTTTGGACTAAAACACGTTGAAGCGGGGCAAAAAGAATTGCCAATGCTAAGAAGAAACTCAAGATTTAAAATGTTGTAATGAATTTCCTAAATTCTAACTTTATAAATTTTTTAATTAAACTTATTTTTGATGAAAATTCATTTCTTTTTATTCAAACTGCCTCATTTGTCGTCGTGATTTGTCAAAAAACGTTTGTAAACTGGTAGTAAATTATACGGCTAAGCTTTTCCTCGGCCTTTCGATAACCTTCTTTTCGGCTTTATTAGTTATTATACAATGTAAAAGACACCTGCCAAAGAATATTGTAATGAACCTCACCATCTAATATTTTAAAAGAACTAGGCCAGGCCGGTTCAGCCAATGGCATGGCCTGTTTATTGCCTCTTGTACCAAGATGACTTAGCCAATCAAGGTGACTAGACTTTATTGAATTGTGTCATCTAAGAGTCACAAGATTACGACTGAATGGCTGATTAATGCGTGGGATGTTGGCAAATGAATACCTGCCTTTAACAGTAAAAGGTAAATATAGCAAGCAAATATCAAAATTGAGGTCAGCAAGGATAACACCTTAAAGGATTTTTCCAGTGAAGGATTAATAAGGCTTGGTCAGTCTTGACTTAAAACTGTTTTACACTTTCACTAAAATCATGTTCGTTCACCGCCCATGATATATTATTTATATCAATAGGGAAATTATCTTGCAGCCGGATATTGAAAATTTCAAAAGATCTGTCGATGATATTTTGACAAGGTCATTGAAGTTATCTATAATAAAAGCTGACAGGTTTCACCTGAGCTCCAATGTAAACTTAGCATCGCGCCCTGCTTGATTTGCTTGTTTGCAGTATTTAAAACAATTCACCGTGACTCGCATCTGACAGCGAAAACAAGAATATTTTTTTCAATCTCGGTAAGTATTATTTTCCAAAGCTCCAAGTTATTTAATGTTTTTTGACATTGTTTTTATAGGTTTTTATCGCTACCTTTGTCAATCATAGATAAAATACGTATTTAGTCCTTTTTTTATCGAAATAACAATGCTGAAAAATACACAGGGAGTATCGAATCGCCTACATTATTTCAACTCTCAAATGCTGTGGGTTTATAGAAATGTTTTACTGACATAGTGAAATTTTTTTTCATTTGTCCGTTAATCAAAAAAGAGGGTTGCTAAAAATATTTCAGCTCTTGCATTTTCGATGCCCAAAGCGAATCTTGGAAAACAAAATGGTGAACGCTACTTGGGTGTGAAAGAGTTTACTTTTCCACACCATGACTTAGTTACAGTGTACCTTCAGAAGAATGTTGAGTCATGTGGCGACCAAATAATTGCCATTATTTCGGTAGCAAATATTATAATTTAAAGACCATCAGTCATCCACCTAACGAAGATGCATGATACGAGGTAAAGGAAGAAAGATTCTGAGTTTCATGAGGATTCGAACGCTAGACCTTAAGATTTCGCGCTTGAATGCTCTACTACTGAGCCACGGAAAAGTCAATAATGAACTGAGCCACTATTTGGTTCAGACATGTTTCTTGCATACTGCTTTATCAGCAATGTCGAAATTGTCACGGGTGGAAATAGATCGGAATGTAAAGTTCTCGAAGCAAAGTCCAGAGCTAGGGAAATGTTCAAAGTGCTCAACGGCTTGTCTCCAAGTTGTCTCGCTGACCTATTCTTGAGAAAGAATGAAATTTCAGGGGCTCCTCGGACTTACTGCATTTTCTCTTACCCAAGATCAAACACCTAAAAAAAGAGGCTTTTTACAGTTGTGCTAAACTATGGAACTCACTCCCTTAGACATTTGATTCTGGAATTCATTAGTTACCATTATTCAATACCAAATTTAACGCTCACACTCTCTCACTATCTTAGACTCGCGCAATTATTAAATTTTAAATTTACTGTCTCTAACCCCACGCCCTCCGCGGGAACCAGTTTTGTTGACGGGGAAAGTGTGTTTGAAATAATTTCCTTTACGTTAACTTACTTACTAAGCTTTATTCCTAATGGAGACTCAGATTTTCCCTTGCTTCGTACTCCTTGAAAGGCGACTGACATATATCTTCATCTCATGACAATTTGGTCTTTTTGTTTTTTAACAGACACATGGGTGACAAAGAAAGCGAAGTTAGCTTATGCGGTGTGCCTGAGTGGTTCGGACTCCCAGAGAACAGCACAGCTTCGTACGTAAACGATATCTTCGTCGCCGTATTTACAGCTCTCTTGTGTTGTTTCGCAATCTGTAGCAACTTTCTCATTATTGTGACAACTGTGAAAACTCCGTCATTACAGAAGCCATGCAATATTCTGCTGTGTAGCTTGGCTGCTGCAGATTGGCTTACTGGTCTAACATCTATGCCAATGTTCGCCGCTTTGAGGTTGATAATTCACCGTGTTCCCTCGACATGCAGTTATCAAGAAGACCTTTTTACCGCCTTCTATGCGTCTATCATGTTAACATCTGGATGGTCGTTTGCTATTTTAACTTTCGTCAGCTTTGATCGCCTCAATGCATTGTCAAGACCAATTTCCTACCGTCTGCGTGTAACTGTCGAAGGTATTTCATTCATTTTTTTCCGTATTTATAACTTAAGCATCAGCACGTTCAGAAGGTCTCAGAATGTAGGTTGTAAAATATCCAAGCTGACTTACAGTAGAAAACTTTGCTAATGATTTAACTTCCACTGAAAAACTTTTAGGAGACTCAAATAAAACAATTTCCCTAAAAACTGACTCGCTAGTATTTGAATAAGAAGCGGACTCGTCAGATTATTGATGCAAAACTCCAGGAAGAAGAAATTTACAGATGTAAATGAAAAGGATGAGCTTAAAGGGAAATTCTTCAGCAGTAAGTTTCCTTGAAAAGTGTACTTGACAAGTTTTCTTCCGTAAGTGTGAAGCAAGCAATTTTCTTTTCTTAACTCGTACAATTATCAAGTGACACTTCATGCCCATGTGATAGAGACCTCACACGAGTTATCTTATACATAGATGTTCTTAATTCTCTTAGGGACAGTAAAGACGATGTCTTTTATTGGAGTAAGTTGGTTTTTGCTAACAATCTTAGCTCAATTACTCCTATCCTCGATACTGGAATTAGTATTTTCCATGACATTGATAGCCATATTCATAGTCATCCCGACTGTAAACCACATAAGAATGTACCTAGCAATCCGCCGCCACAATAAGGAGCTCAGACGATCGGTTGCGTCAGTGAGGCTGACAACTGTGTTACGAAGGGAGAAGAAGACTGCCATTGATATGTTTGTTATTACTATGGTTCTCCTGCTGTGTCTGGTGCCGGCAATTTTGATCAAGCCGACACAGGTTCCTTTCCCAAGAGTTTACTCTTTTTTGCAGCCTTGGTCCATAGCAATGGTGTTTTCAAACTCTGCTTTGAATCCCCTGATTTACACATTAAGAAACCAAAGTCTTAGGGATGCAATGAGGAATGTCATTCTGAGGCGAAATAGGAGAGCGATTGGAATTATTACCAGCGAGAGCGGTGGCAGAACTCAGGAGCTGGTCATGTTCTAAACAAGAACAAACGACAGGCGATTGCACTGATTGGGTGCAAAGTGAACCGTACCACATATGAAAGCATCGAAGCGTTCTGTCGGTTGTTAAATTGGAGCGCTATTGCAGAAAACAGGAGTTAGCGGTTGACCTTTGAAGAGACCATTTTAGTTGTTAAAACATGAAGTAATTCTTGAATAATCTTCCCGATGTTATATATATATATAAATATGTTTATATTCACACTTCGTAAATAGTGTTAGTTTTTTTTTCATCACAACCATAATAATAATTATTATATCAAATTGAATTTATCAATGTCATTACTATTGATAAATTCAATTTTTCGATACAACTGGCCTAAATATTCGCTCCAAGAGTTGTTAGTTTACAACGTAACTCATCGAAAAATGGGAAAGGCCTCATTCGGCGCGAGGAACCGTGGCGCTCTGATATCTTTGAATCATATCAAATATTCTGGCGCTTGGCGCGGTAAGAAAAAAAGCTTTTACAAATTTCTTATAAAACCCGAATATACCTTTTAGCTCTGTGGTCACGTAGCTTAACATGGGTAAACAATTATTCCAAATGGTTGCTCAAGCAAATTCATGTTGCGGTTATATTACGGACGAAATCTATCCTTCTCTTGCCGGAATTGTCATATTCACAGATAAATCGACTCTCAAGAAACTGCGGTAAAAAAGAAATCTGCGACTAGGTGGGGTTTATAGTAGCCGATCGAAATTAAGTTCGTTATTGAGAATGAAGACAACCTAGAGTTGGAACTGAAACAAACTGGTGATCACTCGATCTTCAGAGATCATAAAAAGTTCATGAAACGAACACGAAAGGGAAGCGAATATATCACAACTACATAGTTTTAGCGATTTGGGAATTTTAGATTCTCTCTTCTGCGTTACTTAGCAATTTAGTCGTGTTATGTAATGTACAGTGAAAGGCCCAGAATCAAAAATCATATTTAGAAGTAGTACAGTACAGTACAGTACAGTACAGTACAGTAGTTTATTAAATTTTCTAAAACTCTTCTGTTCTAAATTAATTTTACAATCAATGATGAAAAACTTGGCATGCAATACAAGCAAGAGTAATTTTTTTTATGGATGGGTGGGTTGAGACGGGAGCCTAAGTAATTGACGATTGCATTTTTCTGAAAGGAAAAGAGCATTTACTTTCAAAAGATTCCAATGAAAAATATCGTTCAATAAACTCAGGCACAGGTATTTTATGGTCTATTGCTACTGGTGTCTGAATAATTGTAAGAAAAAATTATATGCATTGCTGCCAGGCTAAGACAATACTGAATGCCGTTCCCTCTATCAGAAACAAATTCAGAATAATCCGATTACAGCTCTTTGCCAAAAAACATTATTCTACAAGATTTTGCTTTGGAAAGCAAACCGAGACTCTTTCTTTTTATCTACAATAGCCTCTGAATAAAGATACTGTGCGCTCTCCGTTCATATTTCAAAGGCTTTTACATGGACCTAACAACGTGGGCTCCTTATTTGGTTGTTGCCTGTCTCAGCTTTGTTCCGTTTCGTTCGGAATACTTGATAACATGCAGGTTGATTACAAGGAAGGACACGTGATGGAAACGTTTGGGCACAAGAGAATTACGTGGCAATTTGACAAACGGTAGCATCTAGTTTTATGTCAAATTTTTTCAGCGGGACAGGATTACGTCATAGTTTGTTTACTGGAAAATGGCATTTCATCTGAGAAACTCTTCTCCATAGTGACAAAGAAACACGTAATTATGTCAGAAAACAAACATGTAATGTAACATGAAAACAAGATGTAATACAAGTAGAAAATTCCAGGAGCAAAGAAACTGATATAGGCGCAGAAAGTAAATATGACTTGGTAATATTTTCAACCTTTGCCGAAAGAGCAATCACAAGGCAAAATAAAAATTATCGACGACATATGCCTCATGCAAATGCTTTACGCAAAACAAGCCCTTCCTAAGCAAACGCTCTAATAATAATTTCGTGTTAGGCCTTGAGCTGACGGTGGGTGTGTTGTAAGTAAAGGAGCAGTACACAAAACACTTTTACACCTCTAAGTGGTTGAAAAATACCCTAACCACCTTTCTATCCCCGACAGACCATGACGACGAAGTCCTCACGAAGGACATGAACTGGGTTGATGAGCTCACAATTCTTTGTTAATGCCATTCTTGCGGTGTATCAATGTTAGATTGATTCCATTGCAACATTTTACTGTTCCCTAATTTCATGACATGATTGGCATGAGAGACGATACTCTGACGTTCTGATTGGTTCAAGCATACCCCAGTGCTGTGATCTGATAGGTGCGAGATACTTACCCTAATGCGCCGATCCAATTGGTGCGACATATCACTCAATACGCTAACATATCGTAATTAATTTTTTTAATGAAAAGAACATCTCAAAAAGTCTCATTACAATAACTATCGAGAGACAATAGACTAATTTAGTCAAATAATGGCATCCAATTTTGAGACTGTTGTTTCTTGAAATTGCGAGAGCGTCATTCCCTGAAACAGGGGGGAAAGCCAGGCTAATTTGCGAAATTAAATAATTCGTTTCATTTTGAATCTAATAAAACAGAAATAAAATCTTAATCTCCTATCATGAGTCGAACAATGACCTCTGAACCTCGCGCTCCGATGCTAAACCTCAGTCAGTTGCAAGGAAGTTGGATAAAAGTGGTCTAACTGCCATGTTCATATCAGACAGGCGTTCTACATTTAATAAAGAATCGAATCTCTCGTTGACAAAAAGTAGAGCTTAACTAACTGATAATCTTCTGTAATAAAAAGAAAAAAGTAGAAAAACAAGCTCTCTGAAATAAAATTTTGTACTGGAAATTGAATAAGGGTACTGTTACATAACAGAAGTTGGAAAAGAATGAAATACATTTTTAAGTTAACTTATAGGCTCGCTGACTTCCTACTTCCACAGTTCGTTCATATTGGATATCACCCTTCCGTTGTCGTCTTCTTTGATTCTCTTCAATAGAATATCCATAAAATCCAACGGTTTGAAAATGTCGATTTCTAATAGGGCCATTTCCTCTTTGGACAGATTGTACCATCCTGGAGCCAACTTTTGGTGCTGAGGGAGGGTTCCACCACAGTAACTCGACAGATTCTCTCCAACTTCGTCTTCTTGAGCGTGAGTGTTGTGTGCGAATATTTCATTTTTTCGGTGTCGTTTTCCAGCCTTAAAAAATTCGAGCTTGCTTTCATCACGGTGAGCGTGTATTCTAGTAGCGCACAAGTCAGCCATCATATTCTCTTCTAAGCGATCGAACCCAGAGTCGTCTCTCAAGCTTGATATCACGTCGTAACGGTTAACTGTCAGAAATCATCAAAATGAGTGCGCGGCATCCAATTTATATCTGCGAACACCGTTTGGAACCGTCTATCAATAAATACAAATGATTGTTACGTAACATTAACGTTATGTTAACATGTTACGTAACTATAAAGGGGGCAAGTTTCTAACGAAACTGTGGCAGAGTGTAACAGGGTAATTTAGCATTATCAAATGATCTGATCATGTAAATTGGCCACCGTCAAGAGTTTAAAAGCTGAAGTTTCGAGCGTTAGCCCTTCATCTGAGCTCTTTCTTTTTTTTTGCGTTCGACCGTCTTAAACGAGTTTTTTCTTCCAAAGTACATTTAATGTTGCATAACAACTACTCGCACTTTCTTGAACTGAATGTTACGCAACAACAACAAAAAGGTTCACGTGAGTCAGGGCTACCTGTGGTATTTAAAGTTGTCTAATTTTCTGACACGGAAGGTTCCAATAGCAGTTATACCACAGGTGCCCCAACCTCCATGAGAGCATGTGCCTCGTTGTTACGTAACAAAAGTGCACACTTACCTGCTATCCAGTGACGTAGGGCGTCTACCTGTTGTTTTCACACCTTGTCACGTAAAGTTCTGGACGCTATTTTTTCCTTAAAAAAAATGAAACGTGAATGTTTGTGAATGTACTGTGAGGTTGATTTTCGTCCTTGGCAGTTTCTTGGCTTGCGTTTGGAAGCGGGAAATTTTCGTGCATAACTGAGTGGTTCAAACATGTACAGTCATAATGACGCACGATTTTTAATCGCCTTTTTAGGAAATGGCTGGCAGGTTAAAGTAACTAATTTGAAATTAAGTCAGCTTTAGAAACTATGAACGATTGCCAATTTATTTCATCATCTAATCTGAAAGATGTTTGCCATGACAAGTCACGGAAAGAAATCAATTAGGGTAGGGTGGGTGCTGTTATGTTTTTCCGAATTCAGTTCTCTACTCATTTGAAGCCGGGCGCACTGGTCGAATTTTTGTTAATTTTGCAGGAAATCTGTCATCACTTCAGTGAGAAAACTGCGCCCGGTAGTTTTGTATCTAACCAAAAGCAAAACAAATTTTGTTAGCCAAGTGCGCCTGGCCCTCACATCACCAAAAAGACAATGCAAGGTTAAGTGACTTATGATCCTCTCTTCGTCGTCGTTGCTAAAAGCCTCCGTTAACTCAACTCGTTAACACAAGGAACGGAGCGTTCCAAAAACGATGCGTTTTCAAAATACTCCATATTGAGGCCATTTTCGAAAGGCTCCGTTTTCATCGCCGTTTTATTTCACGTGCTACTGTGGATGATATGCAGACACACATAGAAAAGTAAACTCCTTCTTTCTCTTATTTCCCCTTTCCTTCCCTTTGAACATCGTTCGCGTAGCCATATTCAGTGATGTTCTAACCAAAACCACAGAGACACTCCATACTTGAATTAACCAATCCTACAGTTTAGTGGAAGCTAACTCACGTCTAATTGGATCTGCTGGCAGTTTTTTGACACATATTTCTTTTTTTCCGTTCATACTGGCCCGAGTTTTCCTTAAAACGTGCCGAGGGAAGGAAAGGCTGCACTGTTACTTTGTCACAAACGACTAATAATGTGAACAGCTTTAGTCTTGCAGAGAGGATCTTGGCTTTAGGAAGCAGTGTTATAGTTTCCATGACGAAAATGATAGGCTTACTGGCAAAGCTATGGCCACTCTTGAAAGGTTCCTTTATTGAGCAGAACTTTCTAGCTGGATGATCATTAAATCCACTTCAGAAAGGGAGGAAAAATTTATTGCGACAGAACAGTCTTTCAAGTGCTATGTTGCACGTGATTCGATTATGAGAGAGGCCATCATT